CATTTAGTAAATCCTTACTCGTAAGTGCCTGCCAATAACCTCTGCATAAACATGCAAGCATCCACATTTCTAAACTTTATGACAGTTAAAAAGTAATTCCATGAATATTTATGAAGGCAGTAAATTATTAAAATAAATATAGATATTTACACATTAGAACAACATCTTCATTTAATGGATGTGGAAAAAATGTTAATATGTGAACATTTTAAAGATGAAGTGGTTTGGCCTTCAGGGCTTTTGTTACTCTATTAAAAGTTAATTTAGGACAGAAATTATGGCTTTTTCTTGAATCCCAACCCCAAAAGATTAAATCATGATCAAGACTCACAACATTTTTCAAAAAAAGAATCTGCTGATGGTATTTCCAGAGGCTGGATATTGAAACTGCTGTGCAGTTCTCTGAAAAAAAGCCTCCTCTGGCTTCTTTTATGTGCTCACAGTGGTGACATATACTCAAACGAGCTTTAGGGCAGAGGAGCTGGGTGCTAGCGAGATGGTTTCATCAATCTTTCTGTCACCACACATTTTATACTATTAGAATATGTTTCTTATCTACAAACACAGCAGGCAACTTAACTTGCACTTTCTCAAGAAGGTGTTCTACAATCACAGGAATGACTTGCTTAAGCACTAGTAATAAATTTCACCATCTTTCCTCATATTTTTTGATCCTCCTGCTTCAAGGACATGAGTGAGTCTGTTCTGACCTCCTGTATGTAACTGGCTACTGAAGTTCACCAGTGATCCCAATAACTGACACTTTCCATCTGAAGGTGTGAGGAAGCGAGTACTCTACCTTTTTTATAGTGCTTAATTCCAGAAGCTGTGCTTCACTTCTGTTCTACGTTTGTCTCATTTCTCCTCAAGAAAGTCTTTCTTCTTCCTTACTCTGGGCCTCTCTTTATGCAGAAACAATCCAGCTCTAACAAGTGTCTCAGACGAGTCACAAGATCCCTTTAGGAGTAGGCACAGTAGTTTAATTTTTTTCCTTCTGTCAGTAAATCAGCGCTGTGAATTATTCTGGCTAAAGAGACAGAAATTACTAGCATCATGGCTATGCCAAGTTAATGCATCATATGCGTACTCCCTGTATGCTCCATTGCTTAGCTCGCGGTGCTATAGGAAATCGTCACTCCAGGTGCTGGAAATAGTAAATTCCTAAACCTTTCAGTCACATTTGAAAATGACTCTGCCTTTGCCATACTACAACTGGCTCCAGCTCTTGAAGCATTTCTACCATTCTGTTCTCCTATTTTTTACATTAATTTTAGATAGACTGATGCCTCCCTCCCTTACTGATCTCAGTAGTGCTGTATCAATGGTAAAAACCCTTTTCTAAGCCTCCACTCCAGCCTGATTTTTATATATATTAATACACGTCTTTTTATCAATTCTTTTTATCAGAGCAATGTAAGCTCTATCTGGTTTTGGGGTTTTTTGTTGTTTTTTTTTTTTCCTTCTATAAATGTAGGGTCCATGTTCTTTCTTTCTCTATGTACAGCTTATCATGTGGCCGTAGTAACATGTTCTTTATTTAAAAAGGTCCAGCTTACAGGATCGATATGTGCCTGTGTGGCTCTGCCAATACACTAGGAAACGTGCCCAATGCCATAGCTGCTGCCTCTCTTGCCCTGATCAGATACTACATCCTGTTTCAGTGGAACAGAAATACAACACTCCCAATAAAATCTGAAAATCATATTCAGTTACAAAAATAACTAAAGGTAAGATTTCTACAAATCTTGTTCTCACAAAGCCGCTTAAATTTATGAACCTTACCAAATTTAATCAGAATTACTCACATTAAGGATTCAACTGAATATTCTAACAGCATATTAACTTCAGGCTTTTCAGCCTACTCCAAATTTCCTGTATATTCCAGTTCCAAGTTACTCCAAGCTCTGAACCCTGCCTGTTGTTTTCAGTGTGTCTGAACACGAGAGATGGGCTCAGTCTGAAAGACTTAAAGTAGAAGCTCCGAATTATTTTCAACCTTTATCATCCCCCAAATGTTGTATCCTATCCCATCTCCGTAAAATACCAAACTAAACAAACAGAAAAAAATATTGCAATACAATTATTTTTCCAAATATTCAAATTTTTTATCACTTGGGCTTATTTCTATAAATTATCCCGTTGTACATTGATCTGTTTTCTAGCAGCACATACTTCTTTCTGTTAATTTGATGTAAAGACTAGAGAAATGTTCAGTTTTCATGGTGATTTTCTGTCATCAGCAGTTTATTATTCCTTTCAGGCTTTTCCAAATGAACTCAACATGCAGGGAAAGAACAGTTGAGATTAAAAAAAAAAAAAAAAAGGCAAATTAAAAAGACAAAAGAAGAAATTGGAAAAAACACATGAAAAACAGCAGTTGATGGCAGTAAAAGAGAGAGAGGCAAAAAGCATACTCATGCAAGGGAAAATGCAAAGCTGAAAAACAGAGGCATGATTAGAAACTCCGTTATGAAGATGAAACCTCGGTCAAGGATCTATAAAAATAAGAGCCAAATCCAGAGATATTTGTATAATACAAAGTAATAATAATGAGAAATTAAAGAACATTAAAATGTGAAAAATACAAGTTAGATACAGAAATTAGAAAGAAAACTAGTAAAAATATATATACATAGCGACAGCTCTGTTATGAACTAGTGTTCTGTTTTAATGTGATGTAAAACCAAGCACGTGGAAAACTGAGATAAGGAAAATATAGGCAGAGGGAAGTATCTACTGAAACAGAAATGTGAGACTCAGGAAGTACAAACCCATAAATATCGGGGGGAAAAAGACACAAAAAGTAAATTCAGTAGTGAGACACTGGGCCCATTTATATCAGCAGGACTTGCTGTTTAAGGCAATCTTTCACTTCAAATACTCCTTATGAAAGGAGAATCTATTTCTGATATCTCCCTACACATTTTTTCATACTTTTAATAGCTTACTATTATTTCACAGCCAAAGAGACACAACTGATATTCTAACAAAAAAGACAGTTTACAACTTCAAAAAAAAGAAATAACAAATAAAGGGCAAACTTCCCACCTGCATGAGCAGAACACAAAACGTAGGTTTGGGGAGTTGTATTTTTAGCTCAGATCCCGAGCGTGTATTTCAAGTCAATCTCCTGATCATACCACACTTTGCTTCGTATCATTTAACAGACTCTGAACGTGCAAAATGGATTCTTTTGGAATAGCAGAGGAGCACCAGAAGTGTGGCTAATACACCTCAGCCATCAATTAGCATTTCCTTATTGGCACCAGACTACAGCCAACTCAAACTAAACAGCACCAATTGTTTTGTCCTACTCCTTCAGGCTGCACTACTTGCTAATTTAGACACAGTAAATGCTTACAGGAACACAAATTAAGTTGGTAAAAAGTCCATCTCATAGACACTTTAGACAGTGCTATTACAGCAAACTTTGCATCTTTATCAAATCCCTACTTTATGAGCCCCAATTGCTATTTCATTGTTTTTTTGTCAGTTAGCAGTGAAATGCAGTATAAGATCTATTGGTGGAAACGATGCACAACAGCCAAGTTCCAACAATGATAACTGACCTTTCACGGGCGTAATTAGATTGCATCTAAATAATTCAAATAAACAGCTAAAGCTACTCAGTTGAAAATGGCATTTTTATTGAGACAAATGTTATTCCTATAGAAAAAAATATTAAGTAGTTATTTTCTGAACCTGTGTTGTGGTCCCGATTGTGCTTTCTATGGCCAACAGAGCAGATCCTGATTCTCTTAATTATAAGATCTGGAGTCACTGTTCTTTTATAATTGCTTTTGTGAATTGGGAATGTATTATTTAAATATTTATTGGGCTAGTGTATTTTCTGAAAGGCAAAACAGCATTTTTGTTTATAAAATATTTGCAATAGAAGGCAGTTACTTGACATTTAGAGTTTAAATAGGGTTTATATGTGGAGTCTCTATTACGTGTAATGTACAAGCGGACCAGCGAGCTCCATCTCTGCGCTCTCTGCCAGCGCTGGAGTTGGAGGAGAAAGAACAGACACACACATACCCATGTACGCAGCCCTCCTCACACATAGCTGCAACCAAAGAAGGAGGAAGTGGAAGAAAAACATGGTTCTCATTCTAAACTAGTGGTAACCCATCCATAGATCAGGAAATCCCAGTGGTTTTACAGAAGTGACAGACCATTAATGGAAGGGGGAATAAACAGCTATCTGTGTACCTTAGGGTAGTTTGCTTACACGTCTTACCACAGAAGTAAACGCTGTTTTCCCAATCGCAGTCCCTTTCTTCCCTCTAAGACAGTAAGGATAGCAGAAAGAACCAAGAAGGCAAAGGCACCTTCTCCACAGAGCAGGGATATATTATGCCATGATGAAATCAGGTTACGATGTGATGTCTTAAACAAATCCATCAACAATAACATCAGTCCTCCTATAGTGCACTCTATCGGTTACAACCACGCGATCTCGGTGCTGGCAGCAGCCATCTGCAGCAAGGTCCAAAGTGCTGAGTTTAGGCACAGCCCAGGGGGACTGGAAAGAGCCACAGGAGCCCGAGGTCAGGTGAGCACATACCGTGTCCTGCCTCCTCACAGCACCCTCCAACTACAGCCAGCAGGCCAAGCACTACGTACAACTATGCAGAAACAAAGGATTTCAGCGCAGCATTGTATGTACATTATCAGCAGACACAGATCCAACTGCTCCTGATCTCAGTTTCCCTTTTCCCCACCCCTCATGCTTTATTATTTCTTTTAGGGATTTCTTTATTTGCCAAAAGGCTTATAGTACACTCAGAGAAAACACAGCATACCACCGGGGCGAAACAAGTAACTACGACACATAAAAGGCACCACGGATCGAAGTGGCTAGTATTAAGGAAGAATCTGAATGCTGGCAAATCCTGACTTATTGGGAAAGAATGGGAAGGTCCTTAGTTGTGGTATTTTAAAACTGAAAAATCAAAGAAATTATTCAGCTGAAGTGGAACGAGCATTTGACTAACCTTATACAGCAAAGGTGATTGTCCTAGCTTCAAAAGTGCAATTTTTTTGGTTACGTTTGTAATGGCTTGAATCCGGATCAAGTCTTCCACGGTGCCATACTGTATATCAACAAGTTCTGCCTGCAAAGAGAAGACAAAGTTCAGGCTACACCTATAACCATGCATCACTGAGGGTGCTCCTTCCACAGAAATAAAGTTCTTTGCATAAGTATAAGCACCTGAGCAGAGTTCTGCAATTACCTTACCCCCACTTCCTAATCAGGAACACCTGTAATAACAAAGAGCTTGAGAATTCCATCTGACAGATAAGTTTATGTCTTTTCAGTTTTCATTCAAAATTCATTAGCTGTGATTAAAAAAAATCAATTTTTTTCGCCAGTGGTTATAGTAAGGGGTGCCGATTCTGATGAAAATTTCCCCTCGTTAGCTACAGGAATGTATTTAAAACCACTTAAGGGATACTAACTTACCTCTGCTAGTTTTCTTAAAAGGAATCAGAGTCTTGTAAAGCATTTCAGAAAATGAATGAATGATTATATTGGTCACGTATGAAAATATACAGATTAATATATAGGCTACCAATATATCATTTTATTATGTGGTCTCACAATTCCTGAGCAGAATACCTTAACTATTGAAGTATTTTCTTTTAATCCATCAGTTATTCAAGAATTATACTCAGATAACCATAGTGATATCAGATTATATCTTTCTGATGCGTAAACTTTTCTATTAATACATATTTTTAAATTATTTAGAGTCACTTTCAACAAAATTAAGTGCTTAGAGCATGAAGATCTTCAACTCTTCAATTAGGACACTGCAGTAATATGTAGTAAAGGTCTAAAATTATTAAATGTCAAGCATTGGTAATGACGAAAAAATACTTCAAGATGTGTTTTCACGATATTTTTTTTTTTTAGTGCGTGTATATATAGATACATATAATTTAAGAATGACCAAGGGAATTTTTTTCCACACATTTATAGCAATGAATTCTGGTGAAGACCAAAGTATGAGGATAATCAGTCTTGTACATTATTATTTTAGAATGTTATGAAGCATTCAGGACACCATCAAGGACATTCTGGAACCTCTAAATCCCTACACAGTGTTCACACAAAACACAAATACAAGAAGACACAAGAATATTACATGAGTGTTTAAAAATTAAAATAAGAGGAGCAGTACAAGATAGAAAAGTTTCTCTTTCAGTTCAGTTTTGGTAACTTAAGTATGGATTCATTGCCAAAGGCAACAGTTCTAATTTTGGCCATCTCTACACAAACTGTTTAAATTCTAGCACCAGTTGTTCTGGAGATGTAGGATGTGTGAAATTTTACTAGATTTCTGAACACGGGTATTTTAGGGAAGGTATTTACCCTTATACAACCATATCAGTATTTTATCTGAGTTTGTACCTCAACATTTCAGTTGAAATCATAAAAAAAATTTGCCAAGGTTCCCATCGTCTTAAACGTATTCTTTTAATTTTCAAGTTAACAAGTTTCTAAGTCTGTAACTCGTCATCAGTGCTGTACAAACCCAGTATTTAGAAAGGTCACACAAAGTTATAAAACAGTTCTGGAACAGGCAAGCATCAGATTTAACACCAAATACTGAAATGCAGGAACAGAAAATCTTGTGCTTCATACAGTTTCTTCTGAAATATGTATTTAATATCTAAAGAAAACTATTTCATAAGAAAATTCATAATCAAGTGAAGTAGTTTTTATACTATCGGAAGTTATTTTATATTTTACCTAATCTGATGTCTCTGGTTATAAAGAGTTCACCTCAAATGAGTAAAAGGTATTAATCAGTGCACGTTCTTGATGTTCACACAAATTTTACCTCATTCTGTAGGTCTCGTCTTTATTTTAATTTTTACCTACAGACACATCAATTAGATACACTTTAGTGCAATAATTATTAGAGTATCAAAATTCCTAAGGCTTGAGAGGTTGTATTTAGGCTGATTTCTGGGGAGACATCTAATTCCTTTGGACCCAATGCCTTTCTCACTTATCCTCAAGCAAACCAAAAATCAGAGCTTTCATCATTCGCGTGGGAGAAACTACACTGAATTTTCCTGAGGCAAAATCAATACATAAAGATACAACATAATGAAGTATCAAACCATTTGCTTCTACAGTATGCCTTTGTGACAATGAGATCCCTGCCCATCTACATTCATGTGCTGCTTCTCTTCACATCATTTTTGCTAGCTGCTCCTCCAGGGTGCTATCCACCGCTCTGTAAACAACAAAACTACATGTTTACACAATTATTAATGCATTTAGCAACTGCCCTTGGATGTTCTTACTTAATTTATAGATGCAAACTGCATCTGCAAGAGCTGCTCACTGGTCTTTCCCAGCCAACATAGCAGCTCAGCAAGAGTAGGCTGAATGAAAGGCCCTACAAAAGCACAGCTCATTTTTTAATTATGCGAACCAGAACTCGACTCCCTGCTGCCCCAAACACTCCGCGAACCATGTTCTTTGCTCCAAACGTTAAAAGCAAGCCCAAATGCCAAAGCTATTAAATACATTCATACATTGAGAGTACATGTAAGAAGTCATTACATAATGAAAAAGCAGCTGGGTATAATATAACAAAGAGTTACATGTGCTTTCATCACACATCTTCCACATGAAGGATATGTCAAAGCTCAATATAATAGAAGTCTTTCTTTTGCACTTGCCTGAAAATAAGTATCACCTGAGCCTCTTGTTACTGTTGAACTTTAGGGGTACTTGCACACTCATATTTTCAAGTGGTTCTTATCACAAATCTTTGACCCTTAATTTTAACTTTTTGGGAACTATGGGTAAAAATATTGCATGTGTCTAGCAAAGTAAGTTATCACATTCTCTTAACATCACATGCAGCACAGCAGCTGGACGTTTGCACAGCTAATCTCAGATCTAACTTCAGCTAAAATGACAAAAAAAGAAATAAAATCTTCTCTTGAGTAAAGCTACACATGGCTCCTCCCCTCCCAAATGAAGTCAATGACCCACTGGAATAGTTTACAACAAAGTTGTAATATTTCAGCAGTACTGTCCAGAAACGAATAAGTAAACATTAAACCATAACAATAGTTTCAAAAATTATTTCTACCTCTTCCTTTCTTCTACACTTGAATACTTTAGTAAAATTGGTAATAAAAAGTAAAATATCTTGCATTACACTTAATAACAACATGTCATCAAATACAGAACTGCAACACAAACTCAGAGTAGTCAGTTTTAGTTTTAATACACTGAGGCTAAACTCATGGGACCCTTTACTTCTAGCATAAAATAAAATATTGAAAAAAATACACCTTTAAAATAATGTTAAAGAATGCTATTGAATCCAAAGATTGCTACCTTCTCAATAATCCACTGAAAAATTAACAGCCCATTTATGTTGCATGAAGTCCTGTTTTAGTCACAACATTCGTAACACCTCCAAAAATGAATAAAGATTAAATTTTCTTTCTTTTTTATTTTTTAGAAATGCTTAAAACATGACATAATCTTCATTTCACAGATTTTGGATTTTAAAAAAGCAAAGTACCCCACCCTCAAATACCCATATTTGACTTTCCTTCAGTAGAATAATTCTGTTCAAAAGAGAACTCGTCCTTTTATCAGGTGTTGAGAAAGAACACTTGTGTACTTGATTTAGATATGCAAGGGTAACTCCTCTTACCCTAAACCTGGGAAACTGCTAAACAATGAGTTGTTTTATCCATTTGAATTAGGTACTTACTCTTTGAATTGTTTCATGCTATGCTGTTTGAAAGATACGACTATTTAGGAACAAATTGCAATGTGCAATATGGAGTTCAGTAGTATTTCCCCACACGTTAAATGAAGTAGGTGTAGGTAATAAAACAAAAATTTTAGAAAAAGGATATTATTTTATGTTACACTTATATTATTAGTTTCTAAGTCCTGAGATGATGCTCAATGAGTTGTAAACATTCTATCACAAAAACTATGATAAAATCTGCCCCCCCACAAAAAGACAAGCACTCTGAAAATGCCACAATCTAGACACTCATGGATCTTTTCCTAATGTCTTCTATTTAACTCCAAAATTAAAGAGAATAAAACAGTGTACTTCATTCAGTCATGCATTAAAAAGAGTAAAGACAGGTATTGGAAAGGAAAAGCATGACTAACTGTACAAAGCAGGTGGCAGCTGGGGTCTTCAGGATGTGGCACACTATTTAAAAACTTTGCTTTCTTTGCTAATGCTGAGGCAATTAAAAAAAAAGGCTGAGTTAAACAGATCAAAAATGATAATGGAAATGTTTGTCATATCACACTGTTATTGTTGAGTCCACTTGTATAAGGAAAGGAATTTAATAACTATTATACATCTGAACCCAATACACTGGCTGAGAGACAGATTGAGGCTGATTTGCCAAGGACACACAGATAGGAAAAAGATTAAGGACTCACAGGAGAAAAAAAAACTTCAAAGCCAATACACCCAGGAAGAGATGTTTCTCACAACCACCAAAATGCAGATGGAGTCGGTGCAGATAAGAAAGCAGCTCTTGAATGCATCTGCTCTAGCAAGGCTGGGAATGCCAGGGCAGAAAAGCATCATACCTAAGCAAATAGTTTTATTATTATTTCTTAAGAGAATAATTAAGGTCAGTACTGAGCAATCTCAAAGAAATCTTATCTGAAAGGTGTAAACTTATGCAGAAAACAAACCCGAAAGTAGCGCACAGAATGGCTGTGGTGAAAAATCTTCTCTTCTTAACATTACCTATTGTTCATGCCACAGGTCAGTAACCTCAAATTATGAATATATTTTTTTACCAAATACCAATCTGTTGACTCATATTAATGAATAGCTTCTACACAAACTATTTGGGAGGTCAGGACCCTTGAAGCTGCAGCTATGGAAACGACTGACACGCAGTAGCACAGTCATGCTCATACTCCTGCCAGTTATGACCTACCCACCTAATGTGTGTCAGAAATGGATGACCTAAAGAAACTCCAAGTATTGAAGAAATCTAAATATTAAATGCTATGTATGTAATATATTTGAGATTGCTTATTCCTCAAAATTACAACAATTTCTCCAAAAAGCACAGATGTAATTCT